TCTGCGATTCCAAGCAAGCGACCACTCTCGAGGCATGCGATATATTGGTGGAGAAGATGTTGGCGATGAACAAGGCAAATGGTGCACGTCGAAAAGGATCGTCGATGCATCATCACCATCACCACCACCATCATTCCGATCATCGCGACTCGGCTCATACACTTTGAGGTCTATTGAGACTCTCTTTGTTTTATATCATACCCAATGGTCCCTCGTATTATACCGTCGATTTTGTAGTTGTCTCTGCCAAGTTGCATACTTTAGTCGGCGTACAATTGCTTTAGTTTAGTTCTTGTCGGGCGGTGATCTACGGCAGGCATCCCTTGCAGGGTTTTCTTCATTCTGCTGCCATGTGAAGGGTATAGTCCTTCACCTCTCCTCATCACCTATGGACGATCTTCACTCGATAAACTGCGTGACGGAGTTCCTATGAGTAGCTTAGTAATGAGTGCCATGACGCTCATGAAGCCGTAGCACTGTGATGCATATATAGCGAGTCGCTATCAACCTTATTGATCTCAATGTAGACGAGGAGATCGTGGAGCTATTGATACAGCCAGTTAACTGACGAGAACTCAAAAGGTCTAATCTACAATCAAAGTATATTTTTGTTAGTAGAAGTATGGTTAGAACTGTCGTCTCGGTTCGAAATCAATGCTAACTGCTATCCTAGCAGGTCTCGAGTCCTAGTACGACTAGATGATGACGTATAAGTAGATATATTCTATCATGGACTACTGCTACAGATCTCCAGTCCTCATCACGCATCAAACGCGGGTTGATCCCTAAGGAGCATAAGAATAACGAATTGTCGTTGAGTAAAGCAATCTGGTCGCAACCACGACCAAAGCGAAGAGAGCAGAGATAGACACGCGGCGCTATCGGATACATACATGCAACAGTATATCCATTTGGTATCCTGGCCGTACAGATATGAAGGATCTCAGAATAACTTGGTCCCATAAGCTCCCTTATTATCAGAGAATGGTTCTCCCGGTGCACCGTTTCCACTCTAGGTTGATCCACCACCTGTGGCGCCTTCAGGAAGCGATTTAATATTAGCGAGGCTGGTAGATATTGCCTTATGGCGAAAGCCAGACAAGAAGTAGCATCGTAGTGAGGACCCAAATCCATTCGAAATATCGTACAAGTTGGGACTGTGAACGGACCATCCAACCGCCACGCGACGAATAACTCTCCTTGGCTGTTGGTGGTCATCGTGGGTCTCGATGAGTTCAACTGGTAACGGTGACTCGGGAGTTGTCCCCTGATAATACAATTCCTGGCCACTCTTCTTTTTGGCAAATCAACAATCACAAGTTGTGGAGCTCCTTCGTACAAGATGAAGAGTCTATCACGAACTTCGTCGTAGTGGCAGGATGTTCTTAACGGGAACCCCCATGCTTTCGTGAATGTCGGGCGCATTGTAATCGCACCAGACCTGCCATGAACTACTGTTTCCAGAGAGATGAGGTGCCTCATCGAAGCACGACCTTGCATTCTCATCTTTGAGCGCAGTCCAATCAGGGAGGTGCCGCGACAGAAGATGTCGTCCGCTGGAGGTAAAGTCACCGGAGGCTCGACCACTCGGATGGAAACATCTCTACGTCCCACGAACTGTTTCAGGATGGTGCCCAGCTCCTCCTTGCCCAAATCATCCTTATCCCATAGGAAGTCCACCAGCATGAGATGTAGAGCGAACATATGGCGGGGATCAAAGACCAGAGAAGAGATCATCGTTGGAGATGGAAAGCGAGAAGGGTGTGAGACACATATCGGGTATGCGTGCACCCACAAGATTGTGGTCAAAAAAGCAGCAGCGCATTATCGTCACCATCAATGACGGAATTCAACAACGCCATTGCTACAATGATGGGGGTGACCTCATCCCAGCGCCTCCGTCGAACTCCTTCTGTTGGCCGATCGGCGCCCTTTATCGCTTCCCGGATATGCACTTTCGATCGATTCCTTTGAGTGTTGCCCGATGCGCATTGATAACCAACGGGCACTCCATCTCCCTCGTCATTCTAATATGGGAACAAATTAAAAATAGGAGTCGAATATCCGATGGATGAGACAGGTATGTGGTAGCGAGCGAATAGATGCCATCGCTAGTTGCCTCTGAGAACAGCAAGGGACTAATGGAAGGAACCCACATCCCCTCCTAGGCGCAAGTGGAGGAAAGTCCTTTCAGAAAAGGTTCGGACGTGTCGAAGATCCGAATCACTTTCGTTCGTCTCATCTATCTCGTCGAAATATCCATACTCGAACAACACGACACCCGACTAATTGAATACAACCCTATCATGTGGAAGGCATATGTTTCCTCAGCGTCCTCACGAGCTTGCAGGCCGAGACCGGTGACTCAACACTTCCACTATCTGTCGAAAGAAGTGTGGTATTGTTTCGGAATAGCCTCACTTCCTTCCTTCATATAGGGGGTCAGCACATGATGGATCCCATCGGCCAGGATTGAGTTCGTGGCCTTGGAGACCTCCAACGCCTTCCGTTGAGCATCAAGGAGGCCTCGAATCCACACCAAATCTGAGACCTTCACCAGTACCTCAGCATCGATATCCTCCGGCATCTGATGCATATATTATTTCGCAAGAGAAGGCTACCACTACAGCCTGTTCCTTGGGCATTTGATCCTCTCTCCTATGCGAAGGTGACAGTCTCCGCTCCTTTTCTTCCACAACCAAGTTAACCGATGCATTCTCGTCGTTCTCACACTGCGTCTGCTTGCTACGGTGACTACTACTCTCCGTCAGCTCCTCTTCCGTGTCGAACGCCAACCACTTATCGACCTTCACAGGAAGGTAGTCTTTGAGTATTCATGGCGGCCCCCGGCGACCTGATCAGCTGCCCGCTTCCGAGTCGATTGTGACTTCTTCTCTATCCTCTTCGATCGACCCTGTTCCTCCTCGCTGGACGAGGCCGATGAATACCTGCACGCGTCCTCCCATAGGCCACCCGAGAAGGCCCAGGTCACCCCCATGCCCGTCCACGATGACCACCACCATCAGAGATGATACGTTGAATTCTATGGCGTGCTGCTAACAGACGAGAAGTGGTCGGCCCCGGTGGGGACGAAGGCGGGGAGGACTTCTCCATCACTGACCAAAGGACGATAGCATGGGAATTGACCAAACACTCCACACAAGCAACGGTTAAGTTATGAACATCTTCAGTGCTCCACTTCGCCTCTGACCAATCCTAGAAGTGGCTGAGGAAACAGTGGCGAACACCGAGTCCCCCATTTCGTCGAACTGTCATTCATCAACTCTAGAATGGAGGACCGTTGAATTAGCGTTATCGTGGTATTGTGTTCTCGAAAGGATCGAACCATATGAAGAACAACCAACGATGAGAACCTTGGCAGTTGGTATCGATCGGTCTAGCGGAGCGATGCACTCATAATGAAGATATCGCGATTCACACCTTCCTCAAGGAGGCTCTGACGTACAGCAAAGGAGGACAGAACGTGTGGATGCAATAGGAAAATGTGATGAGAGTCGTCGTGGAGGCGGCCAGCGCCGCAGGAAAGGCGCCGGGCTCGCTTATATTTTACCTGAGCTGTCGGGGGAAGTCCTTTTCTACGGCTACACATGTTGACGTCTCAAATTGTGATGATAGACAAAACGTGCATAGCTCTTCCTTGAAAGCCTTCTCGACACTCAGTGAACTCTAGTATATATTTGCAAATACGGAAGCGCAAGGAAGAGATGCCTTCCACGCGATGAGAAAGTCAGCGACCAGTAGCGAAGAAATGCCAGTACATGACCAGTGCCACAATCTAACATCACGACGAATGTCCATTCATACCATCTAAGACTGAAATCGGGTCTGGTCAGGATCTATCTAAACTGAAACCGAGCCGGCTGGTGACTATAAAACCCAACAGACGATTCAGTCAAGAATGACTCAGGGCCATCACTCACATGCTCAACGATTCAATAAACCTCACACTTCAACCCATTCACTCCGTACTGCCATAGCCATCGGAAGCACTCACGGGAGTACTAGAGCCAGATTTGATCACAGTAGTAGAAGTGTCCACTGCGGTATGCCCTAACCCTGCAACAACTCTAGCTGGAGAAGTCGTGCTCACTCTAGGACCTGCCAAGCACTGCCCTACGCCCAAGTAAGGGAGAGCTACCTTGGGAGGTATAGGGGACGATATTAGAACATGTGAGGACTCTGGTTGTCCTAGTGCTCTGCCCTGGACTAGGGACGTAGCTAGATCGACCCGCAGGGGTAGAAACTGAGCAAGGCCGTCAAAATAAGACTCATACCGAGTTCCTTCATACTGTATCTCGCCGTGGTAGGCCCTTGGGAAGCTGAGGGGTAACCAGCATAATACGAAGTCGACATGGACTGGCCGGGAACGCCACTGCTTGGAGCACTGATGACCCTGGGTGTGGGCAGAGTAAGAGGACCCATGGTGGGCGAAGAACGAGGCATGTAAGGCGCGATGAGAGATGCACAGTCCTGAGTAGTGTATGCTGATGCGGAGAGAGCCGAAAAGGAGGAGCTCACATGCCTATATTGCCGTACTCTATCTTCAATGTTACTGAACAACTGAACGAGACGAACCTACGAGGGAAAAGCGGGAGCGACCAAAGAACAGTAAATCTCAACTTCGACGTACGTAAACTACATACTCGAACTCGCGACCGCTACAAACAATGCACTTCGTCCAGCGTTGGAGGAATATATGTTCACTTTCCTCAGCTGAGCTCGAGAGTTTGCTCACTGATTATAGAAGTTTACATATAAGATCGGGTAAAGGTGTAGAAAAAAAAGATAAAAAATTCCTGCAATTTTCCTCGTAATTTTCATACCGTTACCAACAAATCTAGTTGACCGTGTGTACATTTTCCCACACACGTTGCTTCGTCATCCCGAAGGTCTAATATAAGTATGAAACCCATTGAAATTTCACATAGTCACCACATATTCTAGAGAGGCGAAATCCGGAGTTTGATCGTCACCTTATGGCCTGGAAGCCACTTGGCTTTACTGAAGGCCTCAATGTCCTGCAAGTCATCTGGTGTAAGACTCTCTAACGTCTCAACCTAATAGAAATAAAAACACCACGTGCCGGAATCGAACCCGGGACCTTTCGCCGTACTGTGTCGTAGCCGGCGCTGATGAAATGCGCAGCTATTTCCGCCGACATCTTGTTCACGCGGAAGAAGTTGGCAACATCAATCTTCTCCCTCTGCACGTCTGGGTCCATGCTCCAAATGGCAGCAAACCCACGCAGATGCTCCGGGCTGATGATCACCAATCTCATACCACTCCTCGGCGAACGTGTCCCTACTAATAATGGCATAGCATGTCTACTATATAATGAATAGTATTGGCCGGCTTGGTCATCTCTATCTGCCGCTCAAGGCGGTCGAAAAGCTTATGAACAGCCTCCATCACATCACCTCTAACGAAAAACACTAACCCACGATAAACCGACAACACTTACGTTTTCCTCTCATTCCTGCTGTTGTCTTCCACTGACGTGTTGGCCACTTCTACAGCGCTTCTCGGCGAGTTCGTGAAGGAAGACATATTTCCAATAGTGTACACTATGAAACTCCCCATGGTCATCGTCAACTCTACACTGTCTGTGGCTAACATAATTGCTATTATTAATATTCCCACAACAACAAACGATGAACTTTGGAAGAACATATGCCACTGAAGTCGTTCGCCCTATACAAATCCTTAAGGGTTGCGTTCGACTAGAGTATTATGAGTTCGGCATTAGGCTGTAAGCGAACCTTCCACTTGTCAAAGAGAGCTCGTAATGCCGCGATATACTTCTCCTTCAGAGCTTCAATGTCATCGCTTGTGGGATGGTCTTTCTGGGTCACTTCTATAGGCTGAAAAAGAACAACACCAACTAGGGGCTAAAACCGTTCGAGGGGAGCTGATTCAAGAAGAGTCCCCGATACCATTCCAGTGTTCAATCTAAACAATACCAAATCTTCATATAATATAAAGTTATATACAAAAAGGACCATTAGCGAAGCGAAAGGAAAAACTTGACGGACGACTTTCCCGATTATTACCTCTCCTACTACTGTATATACCGGCCTTCTAAACGGTAGCATACCAAAGTTATATGTGAACACACCTGAGAGGAAACAGTCAAGAAAAGGACATAATACATCACTAAAAGGAGTAGTACCTCTGCCTGAGAAAATGGGGGTAGAGAAAGTCAACTTCTTATACGACCAAGTTTGGAGCCTCCTTATCCAACTAGTGCCGCTCACTGGCTGCAAGGACGTATCCTGAGGGAAAGCAATGTGAGGAAAATATGTAAACGCGCAATAGTACTACCCATAGATCGTTCTCGCCGAAACCGAAACTAGGCACCAAGGAAGCTCCCTTTTGTATAGCAATACGGAAAAAGCCTTTACGACGACGTATTGTGAGGACGTATCTGCACTCAAAGTCGACCCTAGTTCACAATATGCTCCAACTCGCTACCGGCCAGCTTTAGTGTCTAATGCCTCAGCTGCTCCTCCTAGCACTAATACAACTGCCTGACCTGTGCAACATCGTCTATTTTAATAAGATGAATTGTGGCTACTATCCTACCTGGCACGGATAAGTACTGTTTGATCGTTTCAGCGGAGCAATCTATTATACCTTGACGCAAAATCATTCTGACCAAAGACAAGGAATGAGTAAAGTCAACGAATTTGTTCCAGGATTACTCTCGCATAAATGGCATGTTCGTATTCACCGAGAGAGTGCAAAGCCTAGGGGTGATGCCAGGGAACTTCTGATCGAAACCTGCAGAGGGAAAAATAAATCCTTTCTCAACGTAAACGGTTGAAAGGCTCCTACCACTCGCGTCAGTGCCATAAGCTGTCGAGGCTCCAATTGAGAGAATACCATGCGGGTGATAGCCGATCATGTAACTCTTCTTTGGGGAGAAACCTAAGAATAAGCATGATACTAGGACCAGGCGGAGGCGAGGGCGTTACTAGAGGACGCGGGTTCGTCTCGGATAAGGTGAACTGGAAAGTATTTGGCGAAGTTCCTCATAAGGGGAGAGTTGCGGAAGAACTTCCCCACAGGCCGAATATGTCGAGTATAGTATCTATGGGGCAAAACTGATACCACTCCTTCTGGAACTGCCTTACTTTGTGTCAATATACACGTATGTTGCATAAGCTACTATGAAGGGCCAGGTGACTCTCCAATAATAGATGGCCAGGCAGGCCAGCAGCAGCGACTGAACCAATAACGAGAGCAGTTATCAACAACAGGAACTTCACAATAGACCTTTACCACTAGCTGCATTGAAAATATAAAGAGACATGCCATCATCTCCCTTCTCCTATGAGGTGGCACTTTAGTCGGGGCGAAATCCAATCCAAACACCTACAACCAGTTACCAAGTATGATATACACTAAAGCACATACCTGTTTCGCTTCGTCATCGGCTCCTCCTCTTTTCGCATGGCAAGCAGCTACTGGCTCCGTCAAGGTTTCAATGGATGACGAACCTCCCTTACTATCCCCTTCTTCAGCTAGCCTAGTGCCTTGTTTTGGCAAGAGTAATGAGACTATATCATCACGAGTGTTGATAACCTGTACATGTTCTTTGCTATACCCCATATATTCTACTTACCTGATCTGTGAGAGCCTGGCCAGCCTTCTTGTCTTTTGTAAGGTTTTCTAGTGCATGTGAGAGCACTTGTGTGACCAGGTCGAAATGCTTGTCAGTCAACGCCGTATACACCTACACGACGGTAAAACGCCGGGCAAGGCGAAAGACTCCCTTACTGGTAAACTCAGAGGAGCAATGAGAACATCATCAGCATCAGTATCAGCGGAACTGTCCTCTTCTATGGGGGAAGTTTGCCCGTTGAGATCTCGGAACTTTTGAAGGAGCTGAAGAGAAGAATGGACAGTAAACTGTCATACCACAAATCTGTCAACTCTACCATTTCCAATAGCATTCTTTCAACGGCTTTAGCATCATAAGGATCGTATAGTTCCCTTACTGAGCTGTAGTCATCTGAACACAATGCAATGGAGTAAGCAAGGGTCCTGAAATTACGCGTTAGCTTGAGGTACTCCTCTACAAGGGCCTTGCAGCCTGTAACCGAAGCGAAGTAGTCGAGCCAGGCTGGCGTCCCCTGTCCAAAAGGGAGCTTTTCCTCAGACCCCCCGGGCATCTAAAAAGCAATGTATTCAGATTTATCGTAAGCATTGGTAGTACATCGAAAGATGATACCTTCCTGGGCTGACGCGAAGGCTTCGTTTGTATCATGTAATACGACGGGGAAATACAAAAACAAATCTAAGTGTCGCTACTAGCGACTCGCTAGGGTAGTGGCGGTGGCCAGATGATGAAACGGATGCCCGTGAAACCAGCACTAACTGAGAACTACATGCAGCTGCACAAAAGTAAATGCAAAAAATGACGACACGCAGGTTCGAACCGGGTACCACACGGATGAAAGGCAGCGACTCTACCACCGCACCAAATTTTCCGAGCGCGTTGCGCTGGGATAACTCAGACAATGAGATCCAAGAAAGTAAGGGTCATAAACAAATGTTGAAGTGAGGAGTAGGAGTATCATCACCATTATCATGTGATTCCAACATTGTCGATAGGCTCGGTTACCAACGCTCTATGGAGGCTCAGGTAGTAGCATGTTGATAGTGGTCGTTGATAGAGGGCGTCAAGGCCGATCCCAGGAGGCAGGCAAGGTCGTTGCGGCTCGCAACTTGCGGGCATTGAAGCCTCTAAGCAATGGGTTGTAGAGCACTTCGAGTAGGGCATAGATGTCGTGTGTGTATCGTCGGCATTCGCCGTTATGATCAGTGTAGGAAAATATGCACATGTGTGGCCGACGGTATGAATTCATTGAGGTAAATTCGGGAAATTCTCGTTGGTTTCTGTACATTTCTACTCTAATTCGTATATAAACGCCTATAGTAAGTGAGGAAACTCCTGACTCAGTCCTGAGATCAGCTGAGGAAAGCAAACATATATTCCAACACCGGTCATGATGGTGTCACCAAAGTCTGTAATGGGAATGTAGTCGCTGGGCATACACGACCTTTCAATGCGAATCTGGGCCTCGAGTTCAGTAGAAGGATGCTCGTCTGGGAGGGTCGTTGGGTTTTACACGGGTAAAAACAGTGAAGTACCGGAGTTTTTTCCCCCTTCGGTGGCCATTATACTGATCGAGGTGCCCAGGTTGAAGGAGTACAGGAACGTAAGGCAACATGTTAGAGGGGGGAGTTTCCAAAAGACCTATCCTGAATCTCAGTAGCGCTCCCAGAATTGAATTTAACGAGTTCGATACGATCCTGAGAGCGCTCTTGAAACTCAGGAGGGATCTATCGAACAGGCGGAGGGTGCAGTAGATGAGGTGTATGATGCACTTGAGCTTTTACTGTGTTGAAGAGCAACTCGATTTCATCTCGTATGCCTCAGTCGTCGACTTCTGCTCGAATATAGTACACTCTCTGTACACTATAGTAGACCACTATTACGCTTTTTGATATTGGTGACCCCAAGAGCAACGAGGACTCGGGGCACATTATCGCAACATATCTCCAATCATTTCTACAGGCCGTAATAGTAGTAGTGTCGTGTTGGTAACCATATGATAGACAGCTTTCATCGCTGAGTATGACTACTACGGTGGCTACAGGGACCAGCCAGGGTCAGCCTGTAGTGCTACCGGGCCAGAAGAGGTAGAAGTGGGGGGGGAGGATAGTAGCTGGGTTTTACCTAGATGAGGACATGGCCCTTGTAGAGATAGGACTCCCTAGGTGTGACTTTTTACACGCTGGAGAACCAGACCTCGTTACGGTTTCTGAGGAGAGGCCTCTGGCAGTAGCAGAATACTTAAAAGGACGAATACGAGCTTTCCGTAGTGTGGGTGGCGAGCCCCTTAGGGAAGTGATGTGTGAAGGTCTCCTCTTAGTTCGAGACCCGACTCTGCCGGCCCTTACTGACCTCTGTCGTGTCCCTTCTGGAGTTAGTCTATCGCTTTGGTGTATCGAGAATATAAGGTAATACGCAGAGTGATGGTGTGGGCAGGAAGGTATCAGTACTGGTAGTAGTCTGTAGGCCCACAGGGGTTGAGAAAAGATTGTTGCTCACTATACGTTGCTCTGCTGAGATCTCGTGCTGTCTTGAATGTGTTGAGCTCAATGGTGATGTGCGTGACTTAGTTTCTACTCGAGAAACGTTCGATGGTTGTCCTTCAGGGAGTTTATGGTAGAGTTCAATAGAGTCATCGCTGAGGTCCAGTATGAATGCAACGAGGACACTTGCCCGAGGATGAGCGCAACTGACGAGTGGCACTTCCTCTGTGCCGCCCATAGAAAGCCCATGGACGTAATACAGCTATCCCTCATCATAAAAGGACCTCTTCCTAAGAGGGCCATGTTGGACATCATGATGGTGATGATATTTCTCCTCAGTGCTGTGCTATCGATTATATGGTGCATACTGTGGACGGCTCTACCAATCTTATACTCAGTTCGAAGAATTTCCCGGAGAGAACGAAAGTCCCACAGAGTAGTTTAAAGGTGATTGTGGTAGAGGTAGGGGTAGGTGGTAGAATGATATATTATTGCTCAGTTCATTCCAACACTGTACCGCCGTCTATATCGTATTTTTGGTCATCTATTTCATCACCATAGAGCCTTTTTCTTCAAGGTTGAGGGCCAGAGCAGGATGTGCGCCAGGTTCACCCAGTTCGTAGGTCTACTGCTGGGGTGAAGTCCCGAACTCAGTAGCTCTCACTAGGTGAGGCTCCATGGCTTGCTTGGGCCCTCAAGTTCTGGTGGAGAATCCTCCAGGACCGGCTCGCCAGTAGAGTCGAACCTCTACCTTGTTCCTGATGCAGCCATTGGACTCTCCCCTGCCTCGCCACCATCGAGCCCATCATCTGAGGTGAGTCAACGATCTCTCCACCACTGCGGGTTGACGCCTTTTTTATATCAGGGTGAATCGAGGGCTGACCCCATTGGGCCGATCGATCGAGAAGAGGAGGCCACTGGAGGGGAGGAGGAGGAGGCATCTGATGCCGAGACGGTGATCCGAGATGACGATCCTGCCAAGTGATAGCATATAGAAATCATTGCTTGTTTGCGAGGCCTTGCGTTGGTATGCCATAAAGGAACTCTCTGGAGGAGGAGGAGTTGACGGATGACCTTTCATATGTTGCTGCTCAACCTTGGTACTCTACCATATGAGCCCACACTGTGCCTCTACAATAGTCTCTAATGATCCAGCAAAAAAAGCATGCCGCGATATGGGGTCTCGCAACTACTGGTCAAAGCCCGCGGTGAGCGGTGCATTAATGGCGCCCTGCATTAATTTTAAATTCAACGTTTTTTTAACATGGATTTCAAAAAGGTTTGAAATTTGGCTCCGGGTTTTTCAAATTCTAAAGGCAACTTTCGATCAATTTATTTCCAAGTTGGGTATTCCTGATTATCTCGAAATCGGATGTTTTTGAATAGAACTTACTAAACTTCATATTAGAAAGTTCGTTCGAGTTGAAGTTGACTGCGAATTTAGCTGCCTGACAACAGATTCAAATTGAGGTTGAAAAGGTGGAGTAGAGTGAGACTAGAAGATCAATATGCGTCAATTCAACTTGCCTATGGTGATCTCTGTGTTTTACCTTGATTGTATTATTGTTTTTTCAACATCGCCATCATGACAGTCCCCTCGACTGCGTTGCCTTCGTCTCGAGAGGTGGCCATAGCGATGTGCTCAGAGGACGATTCAGCATTGAATAAAATACATGCTGAATTCAGAGCAGTTCAAGAGGCCACAGCATCATCTGTCGCCTCATCCGTATCATGGATGGAGACACTCACTGAGGCGCTCGTACAGAACGCTATAAGTGGCATGCGAGGCGGTGGGCTGCTGCCAGAAAGGGTCGGCCCTGGGGAAGTGGCACGTGTGCTCTGCCCTGGCATTGTACCCAGTGGGGCTCTCGATGACGCCGCGGTCGAATCGAACTTGATATTGACCATTCGTCTTCTGGCACGAACGAAGGGCGCTGGTGAAACTGCAACGCAGACTATTATTCCTCTCGCGAGGGTATGTTCGGAGCCTCTTAGCAGTCGCCCTTTGGAGCTGTCGAGCCGAGTTAAACGTCTGTTGCCTCCTGTGCATAGGAGGGACCTTGCTGGAGCAATATCGGCTTTGCAGATTGGTGTCTATATGCAAGATACAGATATAATAGAGACTCTGATGAAGACTGTTCATGGTAGCGTACGGCTCACTGAAAGGGACTTGGCTGTTGCACACTTCTGCGTGCTCAAGTTCGCCACGACCAAGTCCCGTGAGATTCTCAATACACTCCGAGGCCTGTGTTCCGTAGAGGTTGATCGCACGGGAGAGTTCATTGCAGAATTCCTCATCGCCTTGGACCTAACCCACAGCTTGGCCGTTACGAAGCTGCTGAGCATGTTAGATGAGGAAGTTGTGAATTTGAAAGGCCGAGCCCCGATGCTGGAGTACGCCGACTACTTACCCGCTGGGGCTAGCGTGGCCCATCTGCTGCTTGTTTGTTTTGATAGAGGAATAGGAGGAGTGTGTGAGGTGCTGCCTCATGTCATGGCACGTTGGCAAGCTCAGCTTGCCTTACAGCAACTTGACCTCGGCCCGGTAGACGTTCAGTGTCTCGACTTGGTGGGCACTGCCCCTCTGTTACGATGCTTGCAGCCATTGAGATTAACAGTGGGGGTGGGAGAGGGAACAAGCTGTCTTGTAGATGAGATGATGAAGTATGGCGCACGACGGTCATTCGCCATCATGGCGATGTATCGGCATCTTGGTAGGAGAGTTCGTGCTCAGCCACGAGCTGGGTGTAGATGCAAAGTTTGCACGCGGTGGTTGGCACTTCCTCTGGATATAGAACCTCTCATTTGGGCGAATCTAGCTCGGATAGCGCAAGGCGATGATGACGAAGTGAACAGAGCAGAGTGGATCAAATACGACAGATCACAGCAGCTTAACGAATTGTTGGTATATCGAGATGAAGGTGTCGATGATGACCAGACAGTCCTTATGAAAATGGAGATGCTCATCGATGAGGGCGCCGATCCTAATATTCCCTTGGAAGGAAGTAGGAAAGTTGACGTGGCTCGACATGCGATTGGATACTTCTTGTGATAGGATGGGCGAGCGTTGAAAGCCTCTTTCCCATTCACTCCTGTACAAGTCCAGCACAAGTGGGATTACTCCATCGAAAAGGCGCTGATATGAATGCCCTGTGTCAAGGGCAGACAGCGGCCGATATCGCTGTACGCCTCGACTCGTGGTGTTGTCGTATCACCACTTTGCTCAGCTTATCCGAGGCGACCAGGAAACCTGCAGATGCCTTCTACTGCTTGGCACTTCCCTCACTTCGAAAGGCATCCGACGGCTTCTGTCCCTGCCGAGAGAACGTGCCCTAGCGACGTACCCTTCGGGACGCCTGCTCTCGACTGGATGGGCGAGGAAAGTCGAGGTAGGCGACCTGCAATCGAACTCCATCATAGCTCTGCCAGGTTCTGAGCCAGCGAGCTCATGCAGCAGAGACCGCTCTCTATAAACTAGGCGGGCTCTTCGCCAATCTCGATAATAGACGAGTGAGTGTGATCTCTGGGAACCTGAGTGGCTCTGTATGAAATATTGCGATTTTTCCTCTAGGATGTGGAGACTCGCGAGCTTGACTCAAATATTCAGCGGCTGGAAAATGTGGTCGAGGTGAAGAGAGAGCAGTTGAGCGTGCTGGAAAGGGACGTGGATGAGGAGGTCAGCCATTACATCGATGAGATCGCGATGAAGCCCGATACGATTTTCAGAATAATGCTGCTCGCCAGGGCCGAGCACTTGCACGTTGTAGGCGTAAATTAGCATGCAAATGTGGAGCAAAAGTTCGATACGCCACTGTTGATTGCGGTCACGGCCTATGTGAAGATTGCAGATGCAAAGCGGGAGCGCGATGTCCAGATTGTGGACAGGCGATTCCGAAAGGATTTGTTCAGCTCCGTTTCCTATGTACCAATACGTATTCCCAGTTTGTTGAGTTACGTGGGATAGCTAGGTATCGAATTGTTTGATCGTCTGAAGCACCCCATATCCTTCTGCCATATTTCTATGCATAGCTAGGAAACACTAGATGATAGAGCAATTCACAGGGGTGGACAATGATCACCCGCTGGAAGATTCACCTGGGAAGCCGTATGGTTGCACTTCGCACTTACGTGCTATCGGGGATAGAACGCTCCACCCCTATACGCGTAAAAAGGCATACCATAGTAAGCTCCTTCACTATCCCCGTTTGCATCACGTGTGAGATTCGAACCGCCGAGCTCCCACTTGGTGAATGAATGTTCTACCAACTAAGCTAAGGAATGACACATCGATACGCAGGCACAAGATGATGATTTTGGTACACAACTCTTGCCGAAGTTGAACCGAGGACTTTCCGCCTACTAGACGAGTGCTGCTTATTTCGAGTTCACTACTGACAAATACCTTAAACACGACAAATGCAGAGTGATGGATAATGATACAATGGTTCGAGTGCTTCTAGTGTATATGCTTCTGATAAAGATGGTAAAAACACTGCAGAAGGATGCCTTCACCTAGTCGATTCCTCGTCATTATTCTCAATGGTAGTAGTTATTGAATCGTCGAAATTCTCCAACTCAGTCGAAACAAGATACCTCTTATCAAACATTCGTCTATGGTAATCAGTGACTCTCTTTACTAACGTTGGCATAATACTCCTGATACATACATCAACAATGACACTGAGTAATACCGAATACCGAGACATGAATACACAAATATACTCTACAGAATCAAAACTTGATAGTAAATACACTGTCGCGAGCTTAGCCACTGTCGACGGCACTGTCGTGTGAAACAACCAAATTCTAACAGAAGGCCAGAGAAGGTTCACACAGACCTCCCGGTGGAGGGGCGGGTAGAAAACACCATGGCTGTCATACATGGTCCAGGCGACATCAGCTCGAGTGGCGATCATCAGTATCCAGACCTGAGAAAGCACTCCCTAGGAGCGGTCTCACAGCAAGCTGCCGACTCACTTTCATGGCAACTAGTCCTGCTACCCAGCATGGGAAAATGAACAACTTCGTTGGAGCACTGGCGGTATTAACAACATCCGATGTCGAGTTAGGCAGTACGAGTACACAGTAGAGCAAGAGACCAAGTGAGAGAGGTGCCACGACGAAGATGAAAACTGTAGCTGCTAGTAAGGACACGAGGTTGAGCAGAAACTTTCGGGTATTCCGGACAAAAGAGCGTATTAAATGTTGGTTATTCGAGATTCGTCCAAAGAAGGAGCGCACAGCTGTTGGAACTCTCGACATCGCTGTCATGAGCCGAAGGATCACCTAAGAATACCAAAAATGGTTACGGATTTTAGGTTCAAATTCGGCGAGGGAAGGAACAAATGGAAAAAAAATGAAATTTGATTTCATATACGATTTTGAACTTTCATTTCAAGTTTGAACTCTCATTTCGCGGAAACTCCTTCCATCTTGCGGAAATCAAATTTCATGTACTTAAACCACCCATTAATTTGCGTTTGAAAAGGTGTAGGATGAACCCACCTGGCCTCCCAGCAAGGTCAAGACGACCCCCATAGGAACCGCTTGAAGGTCGTCGACATATTGCAACACCGATGCAGGGAGTAGTAGCCGACACGCTCTTCTTCCGACAATCAACTGCAAAGGAGGACAAAGTCAGTGAAAGTCAATTGCCGACATTCTTACTGGCATCGTAGTGATGGTCAACATGGTGATAGCAGCTGCTAGAGATAACAGAGAGAGGAGTCGGAGGACGAGTGGTAGGGTCCATTCTACTATAACGGGGGCTGCCGAGTCTAGAAATGGCGAACTGAGTCCGAGGCACCTAGGACGTCGAAATCGATGATAGTAGTAGAAGCACCAACACCTACTTGACAACTGTTCGGCCGAAGGAGGCGAGCAGTGGTGGCATTGGAGGCTTCCGAACGACCAATGGGAAGAGGACGTGACCACATAGGAACTCCACTGGTACGAAAAGGTAGTCCAAAGAGCCTGAGATAGGAGTGCCAAGATTCTTCCCTGTGCGCAAACGTATCTTTGCCTGCATACCAGAAGTCGCCATTGTGGATATCGCTGCCTCAGCGTGCGCTTGAGAATTCTCCGTCACGACTAAGCGAGTTTGCAGTGGTAGATACCGATGCTGTAGAGCTAAGGCCGGCAGTACACAGACGAAAACCTAGTAGAGGATGATCATAGCGATAGACCACAGCGATTTTACACTAGACTCACCAGTGCTAGTTTATAGACGATATAAAGCAGGGAATAGTACAAGGCTGGCACTATCCCCTTATTCCGAACAAGCCTCTGGTCGCCGCCTTGTGCTTCTCCCTCTGGTCGGCCAATGATATGGCCAAAACACGCAATCATCGCCGGAGACTCTCTCATCGCCTCCTTAGCCTGCTCACGAGGATAAACGCAGGGTAGTTTAATACTACCCAATTTACCTGGGGTTTGAGACACGACAAGACCCCTTGTTCGGCCGCCTGAGTGATCGATATCACCAGATGGCCGATGAGCATAACTAATATGGTGCCAACAGCTACTGGGAGCTGGCTTAGAGCTAGGGACATCAGACTACGTTCATTGGTCGGTTGGAAGGGGTGCGTACCTAGAAGATATTTCGCGCGCCACGAAACTCCACGGGCCTACCCGCCGACTCAAGAGCGAGGAGTACTACGCAGCCGATCATCAACGATGGGAGGAAACCACCGGTGATAATCACAACACAATACTTTAACGCAGTCGCCAGTACCGACAGAACCTGACCGCGCGCCACGAAATTAGACTCAGAGCGCATCTAAAGAGATCCTACTTTCCCGAACAAGCTCATGCCACCCCGCGTCGACCAGAGATGATATATAGCCGCTACTTGGGTGCAGAGGAGACCACCGAGAGAAAGGCAGATGAGGTCCCATGGGAACTACAAGGCAAACACAATAATACTCCATTACTTTCTACCATAGCAGCTTACGTCGTCAACTAACGGGCGGGGATACATTTGCTGGCTAGCCGTCTCCACATGTTGCTGCATACGCTGTATGAATACTAGATAGGGGTCCTCCTGAAATGAACGAGGTAACGGGAAGAGGAGGACGGCCGCCGAAACAATCACCGGTATAGTTGGTTGCAGCAGTGTAGGGGCCAGAGGGCACTGTGCCAAGTTCTCGATGTTGTCCATGCCTGCAATCACTGTGGTGGTGTGGGAGAGTGTCGTCGCCAATAGAGCTGTTGTCACGCTTGATGAAGTAGGGGACAAGGAACTACGAGGAGGTGACAGTGGAAAGAACTACGCAGTGGAATAGTACTGATTCGGTATGGAAGGGATGTAGGCCAAGGAAGAGGGGAAGGAATGTACGTATATAAAACGACCTGCGGGAGGATAGATCTCAGGACCACTCGAATGACGGCAGCAAGCTCCACCAACTGGCCAATCGTCCTCCGATGATTACCTATATAGTACGGTAAGACTACCAGAGCGAGCATGGCTATAGTATTGGCGTAGAGCATCACAAACCACGTTGAAATCGATGGTCCCAAGCTGCCTTCCAAACCGATTAGGTCTAAGAAGTGGAAGAATGGTCCACACTACTCTACTACCAACCTCCCCCCCTCCTAGTCCCTACTCTCAAGCCTGACTTCAATCTCCGCTTCCTCAGCAGTGCCGCTGCCATCTACTGTCGTAGTAGCCGTACCAACGTCATGATGATCTTCATCATCGTTGTTATCCACCTCAACCTCGTGAGCATTCTCTCCTGCTCCTCCTGTCGGTGTTGCTGGTCTCCTCCTCCTCCTCTCTATGACCCTAGGACGCTCATCGCCGGGTTCCGTAGGCACCACCATTGGGACGGCTGCTATCCGCGTATGCAGCCACAATTGCAGCAGTCCAAAACCGCATATAGAAACGACTATCCCTCCGCACAACACCCCCAACATCGGCCGTCTGAACACCAAGGCTAACCATGGTACCCGACTGTCGCTGGAGGAGCTCGGGCCAAGGACGAAGCCATATCTGATGATATGGTAGAGGCTCAATCACAAGCCGGGCCACGAAGTCCGTCACGCGCCACGAAATTACATTTGAAGACGATCCGGAAAGCCATCGATAACACCAAAAACGTCTACCAGTACGGTCATCGACACCAACGGCAGTAGTACCTGAAATGCGTCACTGCGCCATGAAATTACATCCGATGACGGAGTACGTAATGATGCGAGAGACGAGTCGGCCAGCCCGATATTACCAGCCATATTGTAAACGCATAGAGAGGACGAAGGCACTTCTTGACAATAGAAAATATCAACTTCCAAGTCTCGGTGAAGAGATACTTCATAGGCAGACGATGTGGCGCATTGGGAGCGTACCTGCACATAACCAGCGTAATCTAAAGGTCGCAAGATCGATCCCGCCTCATTACACCACTCGGAAGGAGAACTTATGTCCGCATAGCTCGCAACGCTGATCCTCCAAAATGAAAGTACCGTCATTATCATCATCAGTCCGTCCCGTACCTGCCAGAGAGGTCAAGTACAATCGCAGATAGGGCGTCTCTAGATGACCACAACGACTACAATCCACGTAGAAAAAGAGCCTAAATATATACCCCATAGTACGTCGCATTGCTAGCCATCGCCTAAGACACTGTTCATGTACGTAGGCTATGCTACCCGAGCACCGACATGGATGGTAGAGAGGGCCCTCCTCGGCCCCTTGTCCACATATGCGGCACATTGCCACATCCGAGGATTCACTCCGGTTACGCTCGCTGCTTTCTTCTTCAAGAGGTTTATCCAGTTCGCCGCTCTCCGTCGGTTTCGCGGTCGAATCGAGAGACGATACTCCGTCAACTCCCAGATGGTCCGCATCATGCTCCTCCGTCTCGGATGATACACTACTGTCCCTTACACTGGCTATACTGTCGGTCTCCACGGCTGCATTGGTGACGACGCTGGCCGTGTCTTCAACTGTAGGGATGTCTGATGCATCCGATACAGACCTTGCTTGAGTCAATGGTAATGCATCCATAGTGAAAAAGTATCCCTGCTATTCCCACGATTAGACCGATCATTCAACGCGATACAGTGATAGTGACAACAGGGTAAGGACTTCAACGTGGTGATATGATACTACACATCCTCATGCCTCACCTCATCCTCAGCGAATCTCACCCTGAGGAGTTAACCAATCCATGCAGAGTTTGAAACACGCCCATCACCATTACATGGCATTTTCCGTAATCCATTTTATCTCCTCCTCCCCAGGTGTCCCAATGACCTTCGTTCCATCATAGCTCAAAGTCACAGCCCTCACCGGGTCTAAATAGCCATCGCCAACATCGTAGCACCCTAGGGAAGGGGAGATGCGAACAGACCAGCAACACTCCCATTACCTTCTGGCATATCAGGTGGCCCTTTGGGATCGTTGGTTATCAATGATGCCCCCGCAGGTCGCAAGCCATTGACTATCTCGTTATAAAATCTTCGATCTCCGCTGCAAAGATAACCCCAGTCCTCATCCTTGAATACAAGTCCATCTTTAAAAACGTATCTAAGGTCGAATCGTACAAGATACAAAACAGGACGGAATTAGAGCAGTGTATCAACTACAGTGCGGAATTTAAAACCATCGTGTGAAATTCGCTGCGAAAACCGAAGACGTTCCTCCGAGCTAAAACTTTGTTGATGAAAAAGCCAATTTTCATCAAAAACCTCAACAGGGACGGTAGCTATCCTATTCTCTACCGCTCTAGCATTTTCTACTACTACTCTACTCTATATACAGCGCAGCATGGCATCTCTAAGGTGAACCTCTACGCCTTACTCGCCATCTACAGCAATGCCCTTCTGCCACTGTCCAATGAAGGCACCACCGTGAGGAAAGGTAAGACTTCCCTCCCCATGGAATTCACCATTGAGGAAGGTGCCAGAATATCTAATATCGACCCTGGCATACCGCGCAGAGTAGGTGCAGTATTACACTGTGCCGTCTGGGAAGGTGTACTTCCCTTGGCCTTCCATCCATCCGTTCTTGACTGAGCCTTCGGTCATGTCTGGTGGTCACTAAACTGATACCAACTCTGAAGCGAAATTGGCATGGTCGCCGCAGTTTAGCGAATCACAACCAATGCGACATTATCGCGCTCGCCCAGAAATGTGACAGATGTCCTTCAACCAATCTCGGGTGCTAATAGCATCACGCTCAGCAATGGACTGACGAGTCGGTGGTCACTAAACTGATACCAACTCTGAAGCGAAATTGGCATGGTCGCCGCAGTTTAGCGAATCACACCAATGCGACATTATCGCGCTCGCCCAGAAATGTGACAGATGTCCTTCAACCAATCTCGGGTGCTAATAGCATCACGCTCAGCAATGGACTGACGAGTCGCTGCAACATGTACAGTGGGATTGCTACTCTGAAGTAAACTAAAAATTCTGAGCTCACAGGAGTGTCCCTGCAGTGATCACCCTAAAAAGCCCGTTGGAATATCGACTCATCCCACATCTCGCCTCGCATTAATATAGACCGTGGATAATATATAAGGCTCACAGCGGCACTGTATTATGACAGATCTTTCTAGCTGACTTTTTTACATGCTTAGTAATGCAATTACTATCGTAATTGCCCCCGTCGACGTCGCGGCGATGATCTCTCACGCCTTGCGTAGCCCTTGGGCAGTTTTCGCTCTTCCTATTACCATATTTCTATCATTTTCGATAAAGCCGACTAGGAATCTCCTGTCCTCAGGTGTTAGCACTGGCAGCACTCAATTGGTATATTACGTGGATGCTAGTGCTACGTCATGTACTTGTGATGGGAGACTCTGGTGACCAGAGTCTGGTCCTTCCACCCCAGTATTGCTTCTTATAGATGGGGCCCTTCGAAGAGTTTCTGTAGGCGAGGACCAAGCGATTGGCAGCGGAGGGAGCTGATGCGGCGGAAGAAAAGAAAAGGAAGGAGGAAGCTGCGAAAAGTATACCGATATGGAGACGAGTAATGTGGTGTAGTGGTGAAAGCTGACGATTGTCTAGGGAGAGGTATCTGGTTCGATTCCGGTTAGGTGCGTATAGGTCTCTTCGGCCTATATATTTCGAAACGTCATCTCTCTGAATTGACCACCCGCCATGGGCCGGCGTTCCTTCCACCACTGATGAGCGTCGGTTATTGAGGTTGGCGTTTGTTGACTTCTATGAGGAACTTTCGGTGATGCATTACGAGACTTCTGATTCAACACCAATTCTGGATCATCGACACTGTCACATCGAAATTTAAGTTCATTCCCACCAATTCGCGATGCTGGTCATTCCAACCGGCACATGCGTTGCTCGACCTCTCTTGAGAATTAATCTTGAGTAGTATGCCAGTCAGCAGCCTTTCTTGTCACAACGAGATGTCGTGTGGAGAGGTTCTCATTGGGGGATATCTTTCATTCGACGATCGAAATCAAGATGTTTTTAATATTTCTATCCCGACGACCTCAGAGGTCAGACCTGCAGAATGGTGGGGTCGGTCGAGCTCAGAAAGCGTCCAAGGTTGAGCATGGAAATTTTAGGTATGATAGCGTGTGAGCAGAGCATTCAGTTGAACGGCGGAATGGTGATCTTGTTATGGAGTGGCGTGGAAGGAGAATGTCAGATGATTAGAAGTGCGTCGCGGGCTGTGATGGAGATAGAAGGTAATCGATCTAAACAGGGAATAACGGAAGGTAGGCCATAAGGGGGTCATGGTAATGGTATGAGTAGGGGAGTAGCATAGTCCTTGCATAAATGCTGAGGGAGCAATGTGTGATACAGGGGTTCACCTATTGTGGTTGGTGTCGTGATTGTATCGTAGTTTCATTGTAGATGGTCAAAGATGGTGGTTCCTTGAAGAGTATGAAGACACCTTAAAATGAAGAGTTGATCAGCGGTTAATATTGAGGACAGCTAGCTTAGCAAGGTCGGGCGTGGAGAGGGAGCGAGATAATGGTAGTGGGGACCTGTTCTGTATCTTACCGAGCTGGGCCTAAGATATTTCGCAACTGCAGCTCTGCACTCGCTGAGTTCTCTCGTAGGATAGTCAGGGGCTTTTTGTATGGGAAAGTAAAAGAAACGATGAGGACAGCGAAGCGACACTTGAAAAAATCATAGTTTACCTTGTTTTCGTCGACCAGGAATTTAGATGTTTATAGGGGAAATTTCGGGAATAATTTCGTGGCGTAGTGACGGAACCCTCTGATACGCAGGCTCGAGCAAGGTCTACCTGACGCGTTTCGTTCCTCTTTGTTTGGGAAGTGGGCGGTGTTTGCGGTCGTAGAGGAGGAACGGAAGGTGGAATCTTGAGGTTGAGTAGGCAAGATACAGTTGAGGCCCAATTTTGACGGAACTCACCATGATCCATTCATGAGATGATTACTAATGATCATTGCATTTCCGGATGTTGTTGATGTTGTATTCAAGTTGGTGATGAGGATGCGAGTACTCGACTCGAGGCTTTGAGATGCTTTGTATTCGGCCTCTTTCCAGTTTTCGTGTGTCTCTTCCTTTTCCTTCTACTCTTTCGAGAGGAAGGGACCCAGTAGCATCGCCGTGGATAGCAGTTGATCTTGAAGGCGAAGTCGGTTCGTTGTCATATTAATTTTACTAGTTCAAGTAGTGAAGGAGCTCTTTGCCGCCTGGGTAGCCCCTTTTCATTCGGCAAGCAGCAGCAGTAGTCGATAGCATATTGGAGATAGCGAGCTGCCATTTTTGTTTGAAGGCAGTCCGAGAAGCTCTACTAGCGGCCTTTAGGACGATATAGTGATAACCTCACGCTTTAGTGATAACCGAGGACCGCTTTCTTCTATTCATGATTATCTTCACAATTGATTTGAAATTGCACGATCGTTGCGTTGTGGTGGTCGGGACCATGGAAAAGATTAGCAATTGTGTTATGAGTAGACGACAGATTAACAAGCAGCTCCGTCTAGCGGAGGAAGGAGACCTCGAAGGATCAGTCCCTGCTCTCGGGGAGGGGGAAGAAGAGCTGACGGTCGAGGAATCTCCCAAGCGGTGTAACTATGATGACGACGATCGAGTCGGTTCATCAGAACACCTTGAATGGTTTCAGATAAGAACGTCTTCGCAGCAGCACTAGATAGTGACGATGATGATGAGTATACCTCTTCGAGTGACGAAGAGGAGGAGACGATTCCGGCAGCGCCGGCGGTGGTGACAGAGAAGAGCAAGACGCCGCAGAAGCATACCCAGAAGAAGAAGAGCACTCCTCCACAGCAGCGAGGCAAAAGCAGTAAAGCTTCGAAGGCTGACGAGAAGAAGAGTAACCCGGGTTCGATTCCCAGCACGTGCACTTTATTCCAACTGTTATTCGCCACCGAGATCAGTCTATATTTCAGATTCGCCTGCATCGACGACAACAGCTTCATCCGAGCCATTGCTGAGGATTGCTCGTGGCAATCTAAATCCACAGACTGAGATCAAGCGTGAGTCGAGATGCCGCTTGTGGGGTTCGAACCCGGGACCTCTTCAGGCATCTTCGGTTCTGAGGCTTATAACTTGGGAGTTCGAGCTGAGAACACTGCTACTCACTCGCACAATCGAATCATGAACCCCCGGGGGATGGGGGTGGCGACAGCTGCTCAATCCAGTGCGAACTTAAAGAAGAAGTCGTGGCTGTTGCATGGTTGGCCTATGAACCAGGAGGAGGAGATGTGGCCGAGCCCAGCTGCAGTGAAGGATGCGACGCTGATGATGAAAGTGTACCATGCTAGGATCGAACCGGGGACCTTTCGAATGATCACTGTAGATACTCTCCGTCAGGGAGCAGTACATCCAGTGGAGAGGATAGAGCTCAGTTCTATCTAGAGCCGAGCAACTCTTATTTGAAGTCTATGGACACCTACTGCGAAATTGTGAGTTCCCTGGT